CGAGGTCCTTTAAAGAGTAAAGATTTTTAACTTTGATGAAATCTAATTTACTTTTTCTTTTGTTGCTTGTGCTTTTGGTGTCTTATCTACGAGTCCTTTTCCAAATTCAAAGTAATGAAGATTTACTTCTTTGTTTTTTCCTAATATTTTCTAGTTTTAGTTTTACATTTAGCTCTTTAATCTACTTTTGTTAATGTTTTGTATATATGGTGTGAGATAAAGGTACGACTTCATTATTTTCCATGTGGATATCCAGTTGTCCCAGCACCAGTTTAAAAGGACTGCTCCTTTCTCGTTGAATGGGCTTGGCATCCTTATTGAAAATCAGTTGACCATAGATGAATTGGTTTATTATTTCCTCTTAATTCTATTCTTTTGCTCTACATGTCTATCTTTGCTGACTGTTGCTTTGTAGTAGTAAGCTTTGACATTGAAAGTGTGAATCCTTCATCTTTGTCTTTTTTATGGTGCTATTATGGATCTTTTACACTTGAACATGAATTTCGGAATCAGCTTGGCAATTACTACAAAGAAACCAGCTAGGTTCTGATAGGGATTGTGTTGAATCTATGATCAATGAGGGGATATTGCCTTCTTAACAATATTATCTTCCATTCCATGAACATGGGATGTTTTTCATTCATTTAGATTAGGGGTGTCGAACTCAATCAGAGAAGGGGCCAAAATCTAAAATCCAGCCTAAATTGCGGGCCGAATGGTTTACTGAACAGTCATAAACTGTCATTGTGATGGAAACGCAGCGGAGTGCAGTGATGACAGCGCGGTGCGGGCCACATTGCAAGGCCTGGCGGGACGGATTTGGCCCGCGGGCCTTGTGTTTGACATGTGATTTAGATCTTCTTTAATTTTTTTTCACAGTGTTTTGTAGTTTTCAAAGTGGAAGTTTTACGCTTCTTTTGTTATATCTATTCCTAAATATTTTATTTTTATGCTATTTTGAATTAAATGGTGGTTTTATTTTGTTTTTAGTTTAACTGCAATGTATGATAATGCAGTTAACTGTTAAAATATTTTTATCCTGCAATCATGCTGAACTCTTTATTAGTTCTAATAGATTTTTCATGTATTCTTAGAATTTTCTAGATACAAGATCTTAATATCTGTGAATATAGTTTTACTTCTTTCTTTGTAATCCACATGCCTTCTTCTCCTCCCGCCTGCCTACCTCAAGTACAATGTTAAATAGAAGTGGCAAAAGCATATATTTTTATATATTCTTGTCTAGGAAGCAGACATTCTGTCTTTCATAAGTGAGTATGATTTTAGTGTGTGTTTTTCATGGAAGCCCTTTATCAGATTGAGGAAGTTACCTCTATTCCTAGTTTGTTGAGTGTTCTTATCAAAGAAAGGGATTAGATTTTGTCAGATGCTTTTTCTATGTCTCAGATTATCAAATGAGTGGGATTTTTTTTTTATCTTTAATTTGAATGTTTTGGGGTGACTGGTTAATAAAATCATATAGGTTTCAGAAGTACAATTCTATAATACATCATGTGTATATCATATTGTGTTAAGCCAAACTTGCATTCATGGGGTAAATCCCACGTAGTCATGCTGTATATTTCTTTTTATATGTTGCTGGATTTCATTTGCTAATATTTTGATGATGATTTTTGTGTTTATATTTGTAAGAGCTGTTGACTTGTGGTTTTCTGGTGTTGTCTTTGTTTGGTTTTATTATCAGGGTAGCACTGGCCTCATAAAATGAATTTAAAAAATTAATATTCTTTAAATGTTTAGTAGAATTCAGGTGTAAAACCATCTGCGCCTGGACTTTTCTTTGTAGGTAATGTTATTACTAATTCAAATTCTTCACTTGCTTTAGGTCTTATCAGATTGTGTCTACTTCTTGAGTCAATTTCATTGGTTTGTGGCTTTCTAGGAATGGGATGTGTTCATTATATCTAAATTATCTAATTTAGTTCATAGTATTCCTTTATAATCCTTTTTATTGCAGTAAATAAATAAGGCTTATTTATTGGTAATAATGGTCTCTCTTTCATTTTGGATATAAGTCTTCTCATTTTTTTCTTGGTCAGTCTAACTAAAAGTTTGTTGATTTTTATTTTTTTTTTAAATTTTAAAGAGAACCAGCCTTTGTTTTCTATTATTTTTCTTTTTAAAATTCACAACTTCATGAATTTCCACCTTAATTTTTATGATTGCTTTCCTTCTGTTTGCTTTAGTTTTAATTTATTCTTTTCCTAGTGTCTTAAGATAAAGTTTAGGTTTCTTCTTTCTTGATACAGGCATGTTCAACTATAAATTTACCTTTTAGCTTTAGGTGCTTCTAATGAGTTTATTGCCATTTATTACAACGTATTTTCTGGTTTCTCTTTTGATTTCTTCTTTAACTCATAGGTTATTTAGGAATGTTTTATTTAATTTCCACATATTTGAGTTTTCCAAATTTTATTCTGCTATTGATTTCTAATTGATTTCTGTTACGGAGCATATTTTGTTATTTTGATAGGGGAGCATATTTTGTTATTATTTCTATCCTTTTAAGTTTATTCTCTTGCTTGATTGCTCTGAATAGTACTTCCAGAACTGTGTTGAATAAAGTGTGGGCATTCTTTTCTTGTTCCTGATTTTAAAGGAAAGCTTTCCGTTTTTCACCATTGAGTGTGATATTGGCTGAGGGTTTGTGATATGTGGTATTCATTATGTTAAGGTACTTTTCTTTCTGAACTCGTTTTATTGAGGGTTTGATCATAAATGGATATTGTGTCTTATCAAATACCCCGACCGGGAATGGAATCGTAACTTCTGGTTCATAGGTCAACATTCAACCACCAAGCCATACTGGCTGGGTTATTTCTTTTCTTTTTTTTTTTTTTAACTTGTTACTTTTTTTTTTTTTTTTTTTTAATTTTGGTAAAATTTACAGGTTTAACTATTTTGTAGTGTACAGTTCAGTGACATTAAGTACAGTAGCATAGTTGTACAACCATCACCTCCATCCATCTCCAGAATTACTTCATCTTCTCAAACTGAAATTCTATCCCCATCAAACACTAACTTCCCCTACCCCCTTCCTTCTGGCCCCTAGCCATTCTAGTCTCTGTTCCAGTGAATTTGCCTCTTCTATCTACTTCATATAAGTGGAATCATGCAATGTTATTCTTTTGTGTCTGGCTTATTTCTCTCAGCACAATGTCTTCAAGGTCCATTACATTGAGCATGTGTTGTCAGGATTTCCTTTTTTTTTTTTTTAATATATATTTTTTCATTATTGATAATATTACAGATATCTCCTATTTTCCCCTCCTACTCGGCTATTTTTAAAAAATTAATTTTAGAGAGAGGAAAGGAGAGAGATAGAGAAACATTGACTTGCCTCATTTTTTTGTTGTTCTTTAAAAAAAATTTTTTCATTAACTTCAGAGAGGAAGGGAGAGAGAAAGAGATAGAAAAATAATTGATGAGAGAGAATCATTGATCGACTGCCTCCTGCAGGCCCCACACTGGGGATGGAGCCCACAACCCGGGCATGTGCCCTTGACCAGAATCGAACCTGGACAGGCTGATATTCTGTCCACTGAACCAAACCAGCTAGGGCTGTTGTCTCACTTATTTATGCACTCATTGGTTGATTCTTCTATGTGCCCTGAACAGGGATCAACCCACAACCTTGGTATATTGGGATGATGCTCTGACCAACTTAGCTACCTAGCCAGGGCAGATTGTCTTTTTATACTTAGACATAAAAGCATGTGCTGTGTTCTAGGGAAATTGCCTTAGGAATTATGAGTATTTAATAAAAACCTTAGTTGTCAGTAATCTATGGTGTTGGTGAAAAGGATCCTGTGGTTGCAAGTTTTACTTTGTTAAATGCATGAATATTTCTTTGTTTCTACCTATAACTTGGAACACCAAAAATATATGGTTCCTATATTACTATTTACATTTGTGGGTTATGATTGTTAGATATTATTACATCTAAAAAAGCACATTTTGACATAGAATGACTGTCAAAAAGTGAATCTGGAGGTTGGTAAAGTTTGTATTAGGTATATTTTACCATAGTAAACAAAATTGGAGGAAAAAATGTGAAGATGGCTCATAGAAAGAAATTTCAAGAGGCTCTAGACCATGTAAAGAGTTTTTCTTCCCAGGACCAAACCAGAGAGGGTTGGACCTGCATTACCACAATTTGACCACCGTCCAGAACTGAAATATCATTGCTGACATGTACACATAGGAACTGTTTGACATTGAAATTGGGTCTCTAAAGAACTGGTGGCCCAGAAAGAAGCTCACTACAGACTGATGCATATGCCTTTCAGCGTAACGATTATTGCTTGTCTCATTTTTTAAATTATTGCTTGTCTCATTTATTCTCAGGTTTCTTAGCTGAAGAGGGATTAGTAAGACATATCTCTCAATTTTATCAACATGATTGAATAAAAAGGGGAAAAATAGAGAGCACTATACTAATACCCCACGCAGAGCAAGCAGTTAGTACAAAGCAGCTGCTGTTATAGTCCCAAGGACTAAAGCTCCTTTCACCCAGCCAGTTTGTCTGACCCTGCGTGTCTCTTTTTTTTTTTCTTTTTCTTTTTTTTTTCTTTTTTTTAATATATTTTATTGATTTTTTACAAAGAGGAAGAGAGAGGGATAGAGAGTTAGAAACACCGATGAGGGAGAATCATCGTTCAGCTGCCTCTTGCACACCCCTACTGGGGATATGCCCTTGACTGGAATCGAACCTGGGATCTTTCAGTCCGCAGGCCGACGTTCTATCCATTGAGCCAAACCGGTTTTGGCTGACCCTGCGTCTCTTAAATGTTTACCATGCTGATCTAGCCACTAAGCACAAGGTATAAATCCTTTGTTCAGGCAGTGAATTTTCTGAAACTATATAAACTGTTCTTTCCTTTTTCTTCTGTTTCTAAAGAATTAAGTGTGAATACTATTTCAAAAGGCAATGAAAATATTTTGAAAGTCCTTCAAAATCTTTTTTTTCTCCTTTTCAGAGTCCAGTTCAGAATTTGAAAATACTACCCATTCTGTGTTCAGGTCAGCCAAGTTTTACTTTCATCATCCTGTGCACCTACCAAATGATAAAGATATTTGCCATGACTCCTTAGGGAGAAGTGTTTTCATGGGGCATTCTTGGAAAGATTTCTTCCAGCATCATCCAGACAAACACCATATTTGTTTTCCTCAAAATAAGGAAAAGACAGAATGTACTAGAATAGAGAGCCTCCGTATCAATGTAAACTTGGGAAACAAAGAAATGAAACATCCTACTAAAAGTCAGACTGGAGATTATACAAAATGTGACAAACAGATTAATGATCAAAAAAAGAATCGTAAGGTCTCTCCAGAGCCCACGACTCAGCACATTACAAGTTTGAATGAACTCTGGAACAAGTATCAGGAACGACAGAAGCAACAGAAATCTCTCGAGTGCAGAGTTGGAAAAGAACTATCCTTGGTGGAGCGACTTGATCGTTTGGCTAAACTTCTCCAGAATCCTATCACACATTCTCTTTGGCCCTCAGAAAGTACACAGGATGATAGCAGAGGGCAGCGAGATACTAAGGAATGGAATGGTAGACAGCAACAGAGAAACAAGCTTCAGAAAAAGAAGCGGTATAAAAGTTCAGAGAAATGCCATAAAAACATAGGAGATCTTAAAAACAAGGTTCTTTCTACTCATCAAGCTGGAAAGTCCAATCAGATTAAAATTGAACAGGTTAAATTTGATAAATATATTCTGAGAAAACAGCCAAATTTTTGTTACATAAACAATACTTCTTCAGATTCTAGACCCTCAGAGGAGAGTGAGCTGCTCACAGATACTCCCACCAACATCCTTTCCACCACAACTTCTCCTGTGGAATCAGATATATTGACCCAAACAGATAAAGAAGTGACTTTGCATGAAAGGAGCAGCTCTCTTTCCACCATTGACACTGCCCGATTGATCCAGGCTTTTGGCCATGAAAGAGTTTGTTTGTCACCCAGGAGAGTTAAGTTATACAGCAGCATCACCGACCATCAGAGGAGATACACTGAGAAGCGGAGCAAGAACAAGAAGAAAGCATTGAGTTATCCCCAAATGACTTCTGAACACACCAGAAGGAAACACATCCAGGTACATGGCTACAAATTGCATCTGGCAATGTGACTGCCTTTTTTCATGGACTTTTTAGTTAAGCTTTGCGTACAGGTGGAAAAAAGCCATTTGCCCTTTCCTCACTATAATATTCCTTACCAACTGGAAAAGAGTGTGAGAAAGTGTAGTACAGTGCTATTGTGAGTTGTCATTCTTTTCATCAACACTTATTTACAAATTATCCTTTGGAAGAAGGGGTTTGCTGCTAACAGCTTCAGAATCTACAAAGTATATCCCTGGCACCGGTGAGCTTTTAGTATAGAATGACCTCCATTCTGAACAATATTGCTTAGGTTTTTTAATTTGTTTTTTGTTGATTTACTTCTCCCTATCATTCAAGACATTTTGAGTTGCTTTTAAACACACACACAAACACAATGATTTTTTAAAAGGAATTAAAGAATTCGAATGGAAGAAAATTATGGAAGCCAGAGAGGGGTGAGCTACAACATGACTTTTATAAATAAATGAAGATTTGTGAGTTAGGGGAAGACAAGTTAATGCTAGAAAGAGATAAAATGTACCTTGTAGATATGGTTAGGAGTCACAAGTTTTGCTTTGTTTTCTACCAGTTAGTATTGCTAGAATTTTGTGATCAATCACAAGTCTAATATAAAAACTGAATTTTCAAAAGCACTACATACTTCTGGTACTAAAACCTAAAAGAAATTGACTTATCTGTCCTTATAAAGAAGGAACCACAGTGTAATAGAGTCCTCAGCAGCATCCTTACAGTAGTTTCAGTAATAATGCCTAAAAGGCTAATATGACCTTACTCTATTGTTCAGCAAAGACATCCAGAAAAGGGTCAACATGTACTTTAACCCAAGAATAAAATTTAGTGTGCCCAGAGAAGTGATGCTTGCAAAATGGTTATTTGTAGTATAGAAAGAAAAGATTAATTTTTTCTCAAACTTTTAAAATTTACATTTTATATATGTTTATATTATACTAGAGGCCCAGTGCATGAATTCGTGCACAGGTGGAGTCCCTTGGCCTGCCGGCAACCAGGGCCAATCAGAGCTGGCTGGCTGGTAGGGAGGGACCATGGGAAGTTGGCTGGCCACTGGAGGTTGACTGTGGAAGCACCCTGATGATCAGGGAACAGCTCCTGCATTGAGTGTCTGCCTCCTGGTGGTCATTTGGTCACTTAAGCTTTTATATACATAGATGTGTACAGTAATAACATAATTTATAAATACAGGGTGAGGCAAAAGTAGCTTTACAGTTACGAGTACATGAAAGTTTACTGTATTATTATTTTCTAATTATTTCATTTTCTGTATAAACAAATTTAATTTTGCCCCACACTGCAAATATTAGTAATTTATGCTAAAAAAATATTGCCTGGCCAGTTAGTTGAGTGTCATCCCATACACCAAAAAGGTTGTGGGTTCAATTTCCCATCAGGGCATATACCTAAGTTGCCAATTAGTTCTCCAGTTAGGGCACTTAAGGAAGGCAACCTATTGTGTTCCTCTCATACATCAATGTTTCTCTCTCACACACACACAAAGTAAAAAATAAGATTTTTTAAAGGAAATATAGAGAAAGAAAATTATGGAATCCAGAGAGAGGTAAGCTACAACATGACTTTTAAAAATAAATGAAGAAATGTGAGTGATGGGAAGACAAATTGATGCTCTATCTCAAATCAGTTTTTAAAAATACCCCTGGGTAAAGATTAAAATACATGTGTGCTTTTTTTTCTTTAAGACTGCATAATTAATTTAGAGTTTGCTAGTCTAGACGAAGGCACAAGATGTCCAGACAGTTTACCGTAAATATTATAATTGAGGTTTGGTAAGTATTAAATGATAGTGATTACATACATAAATAGTACAAAATGAATTATTTTAAATAAAATAAAAAAAATTGGAAATGGCACAGTTTAAGGCTTTTTGTTCCATAGAAGAGATAAGGGAAAAGGATCTAAGGAGGGATTTTTTATTATTTATTATTTTTTATTTTTATTAATTTTGTACAGAGAGGAAGGGAGAGAGATAGAGAGTTAGAAACATCGATGAGAGAGAGTCATTGACCAGCCGCCTCTTGCACACCCCCTACTGGGGATATGCCCGCAACCAAGGTACATGCCTTTGACCGGAATCGAACCCGGGACCCTTCAGTCCCCAAGCCGACGCTCTATCCATTGAGCCAAACCGGTTTCGGCCTAAGGAGGGATTTTTGTGTGGTAAAAAACATAAACATAACATAAAGTTTATAATTTTGCCCTAGCGGAGTTGAGGGTTTGATTCTGGTCAAGAACACGTCCAATTGCGGGCTCAATCCCCAGTAGGGACGCCCAGGAGGCAGTTGATCAGTAATTCTCTCTCATCATTAATGTTTCTATCTCTTCTTCTCCCTCTCTGAAATCAATAAAATTATATTTTAAAAAATAAAGTTTATCATTTTAATGATTTTAAAGTGCACAGTTTAGTGGCACTAAGTACATTCACAATGTGGGTTTTTTGTTTTTTTATATTTTATATATATATATATATACATATACACACACACACACACACACACACACACACACACACACACAGTTCAGAGAGGAAGGGAGAGGAAGAGAGAATCATTGATTGGCTTCCTCCTGCACACCTCTACTAGGGATGAAGCCCGCACCCCGGCATGTGCCCTGAGCAGGAATCAAAGCGTGAACTCTGCTTCATAGGTCAGTGGCCCACCACTGAGCCATGTTGGCTAGGCCACACAGTTTACAGTTTGATGAATAGCACAGTATCCCTATCTTTTGTTGCTTGTGCTTTTGGTTTCATATCTAAGAAACCATTGTTAAGTCCAAAGTCATAAAGATTTGTTCTTTTATTTTAAGTTTTTTATACTTTTAGCTCTTTCATTTGCATCTTGGATATATATTGAGTTAATTTTTGTATATAATATGAAGAGTCAAAACTTCATTCTTTTCCACATGGATATTCAATTGTCTCAGCACCAGTTATTGAAAAAACTTTTTTTCCCCTGGTCTGGTTTCATTATCAAAACTCAATTGACCATATAATTGAGGATTTATTTCTAGGCTTTCAGTTTATTCTTTTTATCTGTATTTCTATTTGTATGCCATTACTGCACCATTTTGATTACTCTAGCTTTGTGGAAAGAACTGAGAAGGTGACTCCTCCAACTTCGTTCTTTTCCAACACTGTTTTGGCTATTTAAATCCCTTGTATCTCCATGTGAATATTAAGATCAACTTTTCAGCCGAAGCTGGTTTGGCTCAGTGATAGAGCGTCGGTCTGCGGACTGAAGGGTCCCAGGTTCGATTCTGGTCAAGGGCATGTACATTGGTTGCGAGCACATCCCCGGTAGGGGGTGTGCAAGAGGCAGCTGGCCGATGTTTCTCTCTCATCGACATTTCTAGCTCTCTATCTCTCTCCCTTCCTCTCTGTTAAAAATCAATAAAATATATATATTTAAAAAAAAAAAAAAAAGATCAACTTTTCAATTTTTGCTGAAAAGATCATTAGGATTTTTTTCCCTCCAGTTTTTTTTATTTATTTTTTTTATTTACTGATTTTTTACAGAGAGGAAGGGAGAAAGAGAGAGTTAGAAACATTGATGAGAGTCATTGATCAGCTGCCTCCTACACGCCTCCTACTGGGGATGTGCCCACAACCAAAGTACATGCCCTTGACAGGAATTGAACCTGGGACCCTTCAGTCCACAGGCTGACACTCTATCCACTGAGCCAAACTGGTTTCGGCAATCATTTAGGATTTTTATATTAATGTATTAAATCTGTGTTGGCTTTGGGATTTATTGCCATCTTAACAATATTAAGTCTACCAATCCATGAGCACAGTAAGTAATTTTTGTATACAGTGTTAAGGTAAGGCTTTAAACTTTATTTTTTCATTGTCCTAACACTATTTGTTGAAAAAAGACAGTCTTTTCCCTGTTGAATGGTCTTGGCACCCTTGTCAAAAGTCATTTGATTGTATATGTAAGGGTTTATTTCTGGGCTCTCTGTTCTATTCCATTGGTCTATGTGTCTGTCTATAGTATGCCAGTACACACTGTTTGGGTTTACTCTATCTTTTGAAATTTTGATATTAGAAAGTGTAAGACCTCCAAACTTATTTTTCAAGACTGTTTTGGCTATTTGTGGCTCTTTGGTATGCCATATATTTATTATTTTTTCTTTTTGATGTGATTTAAAGTGTAAATGTTTTCTTCATTTTTGCATTATTAGTGTATATATACTCAGCTGATTTTTGCATGTTGATCTTGTATCACACAGCCTGACTGTTTATTAATTCTAACAGTTTTCTTGCAGATTTTTGTTGTTGTTAATCCTCATCCAAGGGTTTTTTTTCCCATTGATTCTTAGAGTGGAAGGGAGAGGGAGAAACAAAGAGAAACATCGTTGTGAGAGAGACACATTATCTGGTTGCCTCCTACACACACCCCGACCAGGTCAGAGATTGAACTTGCCAACTGAGGTATGTGCCCTTGACCAAAATCAAACCCATGACCCTTCAGTCCATGGACTGATGCTCTAACGAGTCTAACCACTGAACAAAACTGGCTAGGGCTTCTTGTGCATTCTTTAGGATTTTCAGTGTATAAGGCTGGGGTGAGGGACAGAGTGTCTCTCAGCCCAGCCTGCAGCCTCTCCAATCTGGGACTCCTGGAAGGATGTCTGACTGGCCATTTAGGCCCTAACCCACTGGGCAGTCAGACATCCCTATCACAATCCAGGATTGCTGGCTCCCAACTGCTCACCTGCCTGCTTTTCTGATTGCCCCTAACCACTTTTGCCTGCCAGCCTGTTTGCCCCCAACTGCCCTCCCTTGCAGGCCTGGTCCCTCCCAACTGCCCTCCCCTGCTGGCCATCTTGTGGAGGCCATCTTGTGTCCACATGGGGGCAGCCATCTTGTGTGTTGGAGTGATGGTCAATCTGCATATTATTCTTTTATTAGATAGAATAGAGGCCTTGTTCATGGGTGGGGGCC